GTACAGGAGGGAGAGGGGACGTCATCATGCTAACTACAGCTAAGCGCCAAATTTATAGAGTGAACTTACGGAAATTATATTAAAAAAACAAGAAATAGACGCTCTCGATTTGTCGAGTAGTAGTGTCATTACATCTAAGTATAGTGTTCTCTGTACTGTTAAATCAACCTTGTACTGTCCAGGTGCTCTTGAAGAATGTAAAAGTATACAATCTGGGAAAACAATTGAATGGCTGTACTATTGTTGAGATCAGGTTTCATCTTGTGGTTGTAGAGAGAATTTCTGAGATGATGAGGTCGAATCTGTGATATCGGCAAAGACACGCTCCACAGGGAATCTCGCTGCTGATAAGGAATCTAATGGAGCTTTCTGAATGCTTCTTCTGCGGCTCTGGTAAGTCTCGCAAGCCTGGACATACAATCGAGACTCTTTCAACATATTTGGAAAGAAATACATGCCTCTAAGATTTAGGTAAGTCCGGTGAGCACCACGATGAGCAGCTAAAGGAGGCCCATGTGCAAGCTTAAGTGCCATATCTCTGAGAGACGGAGGGACCACCAGCTGATGAATGGTCCGGTCTGGGAGGTGTCTGATATGGTACAACACTCCGTGCTGTAATTCAAATTCAGATAAAATTAGTGGTAGCCGTTTCTTAGGTAAAGATTCATCCCGAAGCTACGAAATAACTTCAGCCTACAGAGGATCAGCCATTTAAGTCTTGCAGGTTCCATATGTGTGATGTCAGGTACATGGTCCACAGCACCTTATTTGTACAACTCATACTGATAATGAGAGAGGTTGTGAGCATACTATGATAGCCTAGGGGGACTTTGTTTTGTGCTTAAAGATGTATGTCAGCGGCCTGTGGTCGGTATAGATATTAAAACTAGTACAGTCATAGCTTCCGGAACAGTTGCAAGATACCCTGATTCTACATTCATGAACTTGCGGGAGAAGTACCCAATGGCATGAGGTAATGCAGCACCAATGGCAATCTGGCTAGTGTCATCATGAATTTCAAATTTGCGGGTGAAATCTGGTTTAAGTAAAATGGGCGCAGTGATTAGTTTGCATTTTAAGCTCTAAAAAAGGATCTTTCTTGTTCTTGGTGTATCCTTCTTTAGAAGACGAGTTAAAGAGGCTGCTAATGTAACACATCCATCTATGTCTTTCCTGAAAAAGCCTGTTGCACCAAGTAAGTGTCATACACCTTTGATATTCTTAGGAGCATTCATCTCATCTTGTCACCTTAAATGGATCAGGACCTACCCCTTCACCAGAAACTTCAAAACCTAGGAAATGGATCTTGTTCTTAGCAAAGTTACACTTTGAAAGGTTTAACTTGAGACCAGCTTTAGAGAGAAGACCAAACATCTTATCAAGATAATGGTGCGGTTGCAAGCCCGAAGGGCAAGAGCTTAAACTGGAAAGACTATGACCGCGTCTAAACATGTAAATACAGATGTGCTATTAAGGTCATCTATTAAGTCATCTATGTGAGGAAGTGGATACGCGTCAGGCGTAGTAACAGAATTCAGGTTTCTGTAGTCCACACACAATCTTACCGAACCATCTTTCTTTTTAACTAAAAACAACTGGACAGAGCCATGGTAAAGTGCTAGGCTCAATTACTCCAGCCTCTAGCATCTTGTCACACTCTGCTTTCATGATCTGGCGAATGGAAGGTGCTACTGCCGTGTACAGTTTGAACTAGTGTCAGAGGTGTTCATAGAGCCTGTTGTGGGTGTACAGCTTTGTGGTGAACACATCTGGCACTGAAACGAAACTTATATGCAGTGACGGTGTGTGTGCGAAATGTGCTGGCAAGTGACACTTGTTACTTATGACAAGCTGAAGGAGAGCTGGTATGACGAGCAAGTGTGAACTTGATTCGCCCTAACAAGTCCATACCAAGCAAAATGTCACCTGGGAACGTTAAATTCTTGACACAAAGAGGCCTACGAGTAATCATAACTCTGGGAGAAATGTTTTACCTCGTTTGAGGCTTCTTCTGGGACCTCTGACAAACCTATTCTAGTCATACTAGTTGGGTATTTCTTATATCCACACATCCAATCCAAAGCTGAAGGCTTTACAATGTGTGTGTGTGTGTGTGTGTGTGTGTGTGTGTGTGTGTGTGTGTGTGTGTGTGTGTGTGTGTGTGTGTGTGTGTGTTCAAATATATGAACATATACATTACATATGCTTATATATATGTATTTATATATATACCGCATAGTATATATACATGTATATATACATATCTATGTACATATATATATATATATATATATATATATATATATATATACATGTGTGTATATATATGTATGTGTGTGTTTATGTATATATATATATATATATATATATATATATATATATATATATATATATATATATATATATATATATATATGCATATATATGTATGTATATACAAATTTATATATAAGTATATATGTATATATATATATACATATATATACACACATTTGTGTATTTATATGTCTATATATATTTATATGTATACATATATGTGTGTATATATATGTATATGCTTACATATATGTGTATATATGTATATATACATATATGTGTATATATATCTATATGTATCAATATACATATTTGCAATATATATCATATATATATGTATGTATGTATATACAAATTTGTGTGCGTGTGTGTAAATATATCCACATATTCATTTGTATATATGTATATGTATATATATATATATATATATATATATATATATATATATATATATATATATATAGTATTAAGAGGTAGACTAACATAGTCGTGAAGAATTTCATCTTTATTATAGACGTTTCGAAGGCAAAAACTAGACCTCCATCATCAGTAAACTGTCAAAAGAACCATTAAAAAGTTAGTTAGACAATAATAGATACGAATATTAGGTTCTAAACAAATTACAAATACGTAAGATAAATGAGAACAATATATACTTGAGGTTGCAGCCCATTACTCGGTATTTACTTTGGATGATTGTTTATACAGTCTAACAGACGGTGTAGCGATGAGTTCCCCATCAGGGCCTTCCTACGCAAATTAATTCCTTTGCTATCACGAACAGAATTGGCTTGAACAATGTCCGCCTGAATCGATGATATCTTTCTCATTTTTCAAACACCCCTCACACGTAAACCTTTTTCTAAACTATCGAAACTCGAAACATCCGAGCATCAAGTTTACGTGTGAGATGCAGGAAAACAATCAGTTACCATTTTTGGACACGCTAATCACCTATAACAATGCTTACAAAATTAGCAGCATTAAAACTAATGACTCGAGCTGTGTAGTAACTAGTCAACTTTCCATGACGAAATTAATTTTCTGAAAGAATTCTTTACAACCAATGGGTACCTATTGTTCTTATTTGATAAAATTACCAAAACCTTTCTTGGTAAAATATTCTCAAACCAACCCACTGCCCCTACTGTTAAAAAAGACCATAGATACGTTAAACTACCGTACATGGGTAGTTTAAGTTTTGAAATCAGGAAGCAACTAAAATTACTGTTACTAAAAAAATACCCTCAAATTAAATTCACTTTTGTCTTCACCAACACTTACAATAAAGCAAAATGTTAAAAATAACCTTTGAGATGTAACTTTGACATGTGTTCTAATATAGTGTACTTATTTACCCGACCTTGCTGCCAGGCACGGTATGTGGGATCTACCTCACGATGGTTACGACACCGCATCCTAGAACACAAAGGCAAATCCTTCAGGACTGGCCTTCCGCTAAGCAAACCATCTTTCGCAGCAATAAGAGAACACTCTCTACTCCACTCACACTCTTTCTCCAACACAGATTTCAGTATTTTATCTTACCATTCCTCCCGCCCAGACCTTATCATCTAGAAATACTTGTTTACCCAATAGGCCTTTCCTTTTAGATTTTACGTTTTTGGTTATTGTAGTTTTTTCGTGTTATGTCATTCCATTTATATGTTTATATTGTATGTCGTTTTTTTATGTTTTGATTTCTTCTATGTATATATTGTTCTCATTTATCTTACGTAATTGTAATTTAGAACGAGCCTAATATCCGTATCTAGAGTTAGAGTGGCAAACCTGTCACATAATATATATATATATACACATACACACACATATGGGTGTGGGTTTATATAGATATATAGATAGTTATAGATATGTGTGTATGTTTGTTCCAGCTGCGGCAGTCGTATAAAAAATGCCTGCGCATATGCAGTATCTATACATATGTATGTATATATATACATATATAAATACATATATATATATATATATATATATATATATATATATATATATATGTGTGTGTGTGTGTGTGTGTGTGTGTGTGTGTGTGTGTGTGTGTTTGTATTAATACATATATACATACACACACATACATATGTATATGTATAAATATATATGTATATATATATGTATTAATACAAACACACGCAACACAAACACACACACATATATATCTATTTCTATATCTATATACATACATATATATGTATATGTATATACACACACACACACACACATATATATATATGCTTATATATGTATATATATGTATGTATTTACAAATATATATATGTATATATATATATATATATATATATATATATATATATATATATATATATATATGCTTATGTATGTAGGTGTGTGAATATACATACAAACATATACAAATGTGCATATATACATATATATATATATATATATATATGTGTGTGTGTGTGTGTGTGTGTGTGTGTATACATATATACATTTATATATGTTTATATAAATACATATATATCACATCAAACGGGCGAGAAAAACGAAGTCGATAAAGCTTAATAAATCATTCGAGTGTTGAACAGTTAGTTGACGTGTAGCCTTCATAGTGACATGACACGTTTTATGCTATTACTTGTTATCATTTATAGTCACTGGATTAATCATTTCCACCACATCATCATTCTTCTATTCCTCTGATCGGTATGGACATCTGCAACCACTGGTAGGACTCGATCAGGCATTGCAAGATATCCAGATAACGTTATTCATTTTGAAAAGGTGGTGATAGTTCATTCCTTACCATCCTTAGAGTTAAATATATGTAACTTTTATTGCCTTACCAGTTTCATTTTCCTTGAGTGAACAGCAATACAGTAGGTTTACTTTGTAACTTAGCAATGATAAAATGAATATTTCCCCCAGTCTCCAGTGCCTCAAGATTGCTCAATAAAGCATACGCACAATTTTGTAAAAATACATACATATCCGGCTGTGAGTTTACATTATATGTACGCGTGTGTGTGTGTGTGTGTGTGTGTGTGTGTGTGTGTGTGTGTGTGTGTGTGTGTGTGTGTGTGTGTGTGTGTGTGTGTGTGTGTGTGTGTGTGTGTGTCTGTGTCTGTGCGTGCTCGTGCGTGTTACATACGTATGTATATACTCATATATATCTATATATGCACACACACACACACACACACACACACACACGTACATATAATGTAAACCTATATATGTGTGTATGTGTGCATGTATATACATATATATACATATATATATATATATATATATATATATATATATATATATATATATATATATATATATGATATTATATATGTATGTATGTGTGTGTGCGTGAGTGTATGCATTATTATAACTTCAATATAATTATCCGCAGTACAATCGGCGCACCAATTTTCTCGTACGTCTGCCAAAGGAGCGGCCTGTAAACGAATTCATCATGAGGTATATCATTATTTGTTTCATGAACATCTGAATGCGAAGTAAAGCATTTCAATATATATAATTTGCCTCTTCACACGTGAAGCACAATTATTTAATTTATCATTTTTTGATTTATTCATATTTTTTACGCAGGTGGTTGAGTCATTTATTAGCCGCGCTTGCTACAGTGAGTTTTCTGATCTACGCAACCGCTCGCTTCGCAATCCTTCGGCCAGTGTAGCAAGAACGGTTAGTTTCGTATCAGAGAGAGGGGTGGGGAGAAAGAGTAAGAGAGAGAGAGAGACAGACAGACAGAAAGAGAGAGAGAGAGACAAAGAGACAGACAGACAGACAGACGGAAAAATAGAGAGTAAGAGAGAGAGAATTTCATAATAAACCTGAAAACTGGCAAACTTGTCTGAAACCAGACCGGTAAATAATTTCCTTTCTTTTGTCCAATTCAAACTACCCCTATAATTCCCAGTACTTCCGTGGCAACAACGAATATCATAGACCGTGAAGTTAAGTAGATTGTGTGGTAAACTACAGTATAGTTCTTTTCATGCCATAACCCAACTTAAACAGTAAATGACTTAACCATGCATGTGGCGTCAAGAATTTAGGAATGGAAATATTTGTCTTTTGAATAAGGATAGGTTGTACAGAATGGGAAGACATGACCAGGGAGATAGTTCCATAGCTTGGGTGAAGAATTGGCTATGAAAAATAGGGTGCTCATTCACTTGGTCAGCATGTATCGTCAATAGACTGCTCATTCATACGAGTGATTCGTTTGGGAATACCAATGGCAGTAGATTCTCTTCTTTTTTTTTGTCTGTCTCTAAATACAGTGCTGAAGACACAGTAGTAACGCAGTCGATGTCATCCCCTCGACCTGCAAGGAAGCTAGAAACACCGGCGAGGTCGTGCGTTCCTCAGAACTCCGTGTACTTCCTCAAGACCGCGAAGTGCGCCTCCACAACCTTTTCACAGATTTTCACCGCGTAAAGGGTATGGAAAGGTACATAGAATTGGGTGAGCAAATATAAAAGGATGTTGAAGACAGAGATGAAGTGAATTTAACAGACAGAGGAGAGGAGAAAAAGATGGGAGTGGAAAGAGTATTTATATGAATTCCCTGAAAACGACTGATAAATCTATCAGATAAGAAAATCCTGTGTCTCTTATCCACGTGCATAAACATATTCCAATCAGGTATGGACTCAAACACGCCCTGGCCTTCGCTCTGCCCATCCGCTACGGACTGCTACCCATATCTCCAAAGGTTTTGTCGCCTGAGTACCATGGGGCCCCCGACGGCCGATACCACATGGTCGTGTCCCACACGCAGTTCAACAAGAAGGGAACAGAACAGGTAAGTCTGTCCTATAACATTCGCAACTCCATCTAAGAATTTCTTACATATATTCTTTGTAAACTACTGCAACTCAGTCTGTAAGGTAATCAAATTAATAACTTACCCAATTTTGCAATATGTATTTGCATCAAATCAATGGTTTGATTTTGCAGGTGATGAAGGAATCAGCCAAATATGTTGCAACCATCCGAGAACCAGCATCACGTTTTGAGTCTATGTGGTATTTCGGAAACTATGAAAAGGTCAGTAAGTATATAACAGGCGCACAAGCCAGGTGTCCATACCTTTATCTATATATAAACTTTTATCCCTGCAATAATAAACTATTTTTTCTTACAGAGATTTCACATGTCTCTTACTACCTTCCTTAACGCGTCTCAACATACAGCAAGACATAAAGGAAAATTCAATCTGATTGCGATTTTTTTGGTGTCAAAAACCCCCGCGATGACGTACCAGAAGGTGAAGTACTTAGCAAGGCAAAATGGCTGAATGACAGCTTCGACCTGGTGATGGTTGCCGAGAGGTTCGACGAGTCGCTGGTCCTTCTGAAGCACCTCATGTGCTGGAACACCGAGGACGTCGCTTACGCCAAGGCCAAGGTTCGGAGGCCCACTTACAGGGCCGAGCTCTCGGAGGCGCAGAAGAACAGGCTTCGGCAGCTGAACAGGCAGGATACTATTTTGTACAAGTTCTTCAGGGAAATCTTCGAGGAGAAAGTCAAGGCCTTCGGCGAGGAAAGGATGCAGAGGGAAGTCGAGGAACTTCGCCAAGCGAACGCTCGACTCATCGACGACTGTGGAGCTGAACTCACTGGGACAAGAGGGACTGTGAAAATGTGGAAAGTAACGGACAACTCGAACATTTGTAAAATGCTTTCAATGGATGGAGTAAATGTACAGAACTAG